GCTAAGGACAACAATATTCTCACCGTGTTCATCTTTGCTACTGGAGCAAAGGTTTCTTGGTAATCCACCCCATATGTTTGAGTATATCCCTTCGCAACCAGCCTTGCTTTATAGCGTTCTAAGGATCCATCCGCCTTAAATTTTACTGCAAACACCCACTTACAACCCACTGGCCTCTTACCTTTAGGTAAATCAACCAACTCCCAAGTTTCATTCTTTTGTAATGCATCCATTTCTGCCTCCATAGCAAGTCTCCATTCTTTCTTTGATAATGCTTCAGATAATGAGTTAGGAATAGGAATCGTGTTCAAGGTTGAGAGAAAACTTTGATGGCTTGGAGAGAATTTTTGAAAAGTTACAAAGTGAGATAGAGGATATAGTCTTTTAGTGCATTCTCGGGGTTGTTTTCTCAAGGCTATAGGCAAATCCAGGTCAAGGCTAGAGGATTCAAGATTAGGTGGATCGTAGTTGGAAAGAGAGTCTACCTGTGGTATAGTTAGATTCGGGTCACAGATTGTTACCTCATTTCCAGGACTCGGTTCAGTGAATTGTTCCTGCCTTGTAGTCATAATAGGATCTCTTTTCCTTGCATACACCTGATCAAACCGGAAATGATCAAAGATTTTCCCATCTACATCTTGGTTTTCTACTTGTGGTTGTTTAGACTGTAAGTTTGAAGGAGTTACTGACATTATAGGCTCTTTTTGTGATCTGTGTGATTCGGGTGAAGGTATTTCCAGTGATGGCAGACTTGACTCCTTATCTTCAAGTATTGGTAACTCCCCCTGAAGATAAGGAGTAAAGAAATATGGTTTATGTTCAACAAAAGTAACATCAGCCGAGACATAGAGCTTCTTAGTGGGAGGATGATAACACTTATAACCCTTTTGAGTGGATGAGTACCCTACGAAGACACACTTAATAGCTCTAGGATCTAGTTTCCCTCTGTTATGGCCATGAACATGAACAAAAGACGTGCACCCGAATATCCGAGGAGTAAGATTGAAGGACTTTCGAATGTCAGGATAGAATTGGGACAAGATTTCTAATGGACTTTTAAATCCTAAGACTCTAGACGGGATTCTGTTTATGACATAGGCTGAAGTGAGTACAGCTTCTCCCCAGAAAGATTTTGGTACATTCTGTTGGAATAATAAGGCTCTAGTGCACTCAAGAAGATGTCGGTTTTTTCTCTCTGCCACTCCATTTTGTTGTGGAGTGGTAATGCAAGATGATTCATGTATAATCCCTTCTTTTTGAAAATAGGGAGTCAAAAATTGGTTGAAATAATCACGGGCATTGTCTGAGCGAATATTCTTTATTTTTGTGCCAAACTGGTTTTGAATCATTGCATGAAAGTTGGGAAAAATATGGCTTACATCAGATTTGTTTTTGAGTAAATATATCCAGGAGACTCTTGTACAATCATCAATAAAACTCACAAACCACCTATACCCTGAGTTATTTGGTGTAGTGGATGGTCCCCAAATGTCACTATGAACCAAAAAGAAGGGAAATGAAGATCTGTTATTACTGATTGGAAAGGGTACACGAGTGTGTTTTGCATACTCACAAATATCACAATGAAAAGATTGAACATCTAAACCCTTGAACAAGGTAGGAAACATTATTTTCAATGCAGAAAAAGACACATGACCTAGACGCCTATGATGTAACCAAATAACATCTTTATTGGAAGAAGAAAACAAGGAAAATAACGCTGGTTTATTCAATTCCGGTTGACTTGATGTATTCAAGTAATAGAGTCCGTTATGCTCCTTAGCAAGTCCAATCCTCGTCCCCAACTCCTGGTCCTGAAATTCACAATAAGAAGCATTGAATATAACACAACCAGTCAGATCTTGAGTAAGTTTTTGTATGGAAACCAAATTTGTTGAAAGTTGGGGAACATGGAGAACATTTTTAAGTACTATTTCTGGTGTGATTTGAACATTTCCTACTCCTGCTACTGTGATTGTAGAACCATCAGCAACAACAATTTTACGGTTGCTTGGACAAGGTGTATAGGTCTTAAACGAGCTAGAGTTATGGGTCATGTGGTCAGTGGCACCAGAATCAAGGATCCAGGCATTCTTAAACTCATTACCTAAAGCATTCAATCCAAGAGAGATTAGAGTCTCACCTGAAAGTGTTAATGAACACATACCCTGAGTTGATGTCTGAGGGCTGGATTTTGGTGCTGGTTTTTTCACTGTTCCTAACAAGCCTTTAAGTTTCTCAATTTCATCCATACTGAATCCTCCAAAGACTTGGGTTGAATCTTGAATGGAGACATGAGCTTGTCGATGGCCTGGCGCTGATTGTCCTCCTCTCTGACCCCATTCATGACTGTTTGTGGAGGGTTTCCCATGTAATTTCCAGCATCGTTCCTTCGTATGTCTTGGTTTCTTACAGTACGTGCACCACATCTCATCACGATCCTTGTGAGTATTTGATCTGCTAGATCTGTCAGCAGCAGTTCTATCAAGTGTTAGCCCTTGTGACTTAGAGCTTAAAAGGGCAGAATTTTCTGTTGAAGGTGAATCCAGCATGATGCCTCGGCGACTCTCCTCCGCACGGACCAAGGATATTGCTTCAGTGAGGGATGGTACTTCTGATCTGCCTAAAATTTGAATGCGCACAAGATCAAATTCAGAATTTAAGCCAGCCAAAAAATCATATACCCGGTCTCGTTCTATGAATTTTTTGATTGCTACTGCACACTTGCTACAGTTTAGATCAATTGTCCTGTAATAGTCCAGTTCTTGCCACTGATTTTGTAGAAAATTGGCATACTCTGTCACAGTTTTCGATCCTTGTTTTGCACCCGTTGTCGTGGTCTTGATATCATATATGAGAGCCGCATCATTGACCTTTGAATATGTTTGGTAGAGAGCATCCCAGATCGTCTTTGCTGTTGGCAAAAACATGCATGTATCACTAATCTCTGGAGTCATAGAATTCCACAACCAAGACATAATCATTGAATCTTTTTCTTCCCATGCTTCTGCACCCGTAGCTCCTTCTTTCGGTCCCTCCTCCAATAAATGGCCTAACTTTCCTTTTCCCTTCAAAAAAGTTCGAACCAATTGAGACCACTTCAAATAATTTTTTCCATTTAATCTGTACGCTGCCTGAATATTCTGAAGTTCTGTTGTGCTCCTTGCAGTCTGTTCCTCTGCAACTATTGAAGGTGATTGAGCTGAAGATGTGGTGTCCGTCATGATTGAATATGATCAGACAATAGCAACGAATAATAAGATTACGAAGAAGATCAACAATGAAGCCAGAAAGAAAATAATAAACCAGCGATTAAGGTTGAAATCAAGGATGAAGGCAAAAGATAAACCAGCAATTAAGGCTGGAATTAGAAATTGAATCGTAGGAGAAAAAATTCAGAGGAGGTGGAGTGGCGGCAATTGACGGAAAAGGGGGTTGCTGTATGAAGCCCTAATTTTTCCAGAAATCCCAACCTTACGGCTCTGATACCATGAAGAAAATCAGAAAATAAAAGTTTTATTATGAATTTCTGTATGTTTACAAGCTATTCTATATCACATATATATACACCTTTTTGTTACAGAAAATCAGGAAAGAATCTGCAACAAATCTCCTAAACTTTAGGACCCGGTAATCACCCCTGATTTCCCTTTCTAAAAATATCCCTAAAAATCCTCCTATAATAATTCATCCGAGATTTTCTACAGTTACTATGATATTTTGTGATAGCCAGAATGCTATACATTTGACGAAGCATCAGATGTATCATGAAAGAACCAAACATATAGATGTCAGATATCATTTCATCAGAGAAATTAAAGTCATCAGGATTGAGAAGATTGGTACTGTAGATAATCCAGCAGATATGATGACGAAGCCCGTACCTTCGCGCAAGTTCGAGCATTATCTCGAATTGCTTGGAGTTCGACAAAGCGGAGGTTAAGCCCGTAAGAGGCTTTTGGCGAGACAACAAGAGTAAAGAGAAGATCTTTATTTTCAAAGTCAATGTGGAGATTTGTGAGAAACGTGACTTTGAAAATGTCTTCATCTGCCTAATTTGGGATTGCTTTTCAAAATTAATAGTACATTTGTCAAAGTCTCACCAACCCCTTTTGTATATTTTATTATTTTCTTATGACTATATAAGGGGGATGAGGGGAGAGGGTTTAATGCATCAGTCAGAGAAAAAGTAAATAGAGAGAGAAGAGAGTGAGATAGAAAGTTTTTGTCCCTTTCTTTGTGAGAGTCTCTGGTTAGAGAAGAAAGTTTTTGTCCCTTTCTTTGTGAGAGTCTCTGGTTAGAGAGTGGTCTCCTCTTTTGTATTCTTCTTTTTTGGTGATTAGTGAATTTCTCTGCTGTTCTCGCCCGTGGACGTAGGTCATACTGACCGAACCACGTTAAATCCTGGTGTGTTGTTTTCTATTTGTCCACTCTTGTATAGACATCTTCTGTGTCTGTGAAGCCCCTCCGCTGCAACAGTGCCCCACTATTATCAATCTGTTGTAGATAGAGAAAGCAGGACCTGCATAATTGGTGCAACTGATGAATTTCAATTCAGACAGACTGATTGCATATGGTGGAGAAAAAGGCTAGGAGTTTTGTATGATGAAGTTTAGTAAAACCAAATCTGAATAAATGGATAGAGTTTTATTCACATGGTATTTTATAGTTTTCAGATAATAAGTAAATACTATACTTCTTGCAACCAACATAATTGCTACACTCTTGGGTTCTCAGTTCATTTCATACTATTATATTGCATGTGCAATACACATGCATGTCATTCCCAAGTACCATTTATGTAGTGGGTTCATGCTAGCAGTGCAAGACACCTTGGGCTACTTGCACTATAACAGTTTAAATATTTTCAAGGTTATATCAGCGCAAATGTTTCTTCGTCTGTTCATGTTGCCATAGCATACCATTCCAGCTGATATTTTTGAAGTTGCTCTCTCATTAACCTGTCCTGTTAATAACAGTATATCGCTAATACTTCACAGGGCACATACCAAGTAGCTAAATGGAATGGAACGAAAGTCTCAGTGAAAATACTTGGCAAGGAAAGCTATTCAGATCCAGATAGCGTGTAAGAGAAAGTTCCCTTTTTTATCTGCATAAATGTAAAGGTGAACCAGTTATGAAAATTTATTTCTTGTTTGGCTCATTATTTAATGATATCCATCTGAAATGGTGACAATCTATTTGTCTAGCTTAAGGTGTTATCTTATGAGATGAAGCTAAGTCCTATTGATTGACATATTGATTATGTCCTTGTGCACTATGTAAGTGTTAAGAGTATAAAATTGTAACCCTCACCACAACTTTAGAGTTTTGGCTTAGTGGAAGGGCCCTTTGACATGGCATCATAACAACCTTGGTCCGAATCTTACTAGGGATGAATTTAAAAGAAGATTTAAAAAAAATTGCTTTGCTGTATGAATCTAATTTTCAGCCCATGAAAGGGCCCTCAAACTTGCGAGGGCATTACTGTATAAAATTATAACTCTCACCACAACTTCAAGTTCTGGTGTAGGAAGGGTACTTTGACTGGAAGGATTGCACATTACGTATGAACTCCAAGTGCTTTGGGCTTTTCTTTCTTCATTTGTGTACACTAATTAAACTTCCAAATAGATCATAGCCTCCATGGGTTATGAGCTCATTTGATTGCAAGTTTATAACTTCCCGTTTAAATCATTTCTAAGCCCTTGAATCTGAATACCTGAGATACAATATCTTTTCTGTCTACTATAACTCTTTTACCTACTGAAATATGTTTCCTCTTTCCTATTTTTCACAGAAATTCTTTCAAGAATGAGTTGACTCTACTAGAAAAGGCGCGACATCCCAATGTCGTGCAGTTTGTAGGAGCTGTTACCCAAAATATACCGATGATGATTGTTTCAGAGTATTCTATGAATGTAAGTTTTACATTTGCATTTCTAATTTGAATAGGGATTCATAGCAGTATAAATTATGCTCATTAGGCATCTGGAATGGTGGGACTTTCTTTTAGTCATTTCACCTTTCCATTTTCCTGTTTCATTTCTAATGACAATTTGCTTTGGGTTTTCATTTCTTATACATCATTATCGTTTTCGGGAAATTTGATCACTTTAATTAGCCCATTAGATAGTTTTACATGGAACTTTTATATAGATCATTACAATATGAGGTCAACATGCTCACTATATGCTTCTTTTGCAACTCAGGGCGATCTTGGGAACTATTTACAAAAGAAAGGACGTTTGAAGCCACATAAAGCTCTTAGATTTGCACTGGATATTGCCAGGCATGTATCGCACTATTTGAAACATGTTGTCTATATGGTTTAGTTCACATGAAGACCTATGGCTTCAACGTTGATTTTATTTAAAACGGATTATTTGGATAGATAAAGTTCCCTCCTGTTTTCCAGCATGAAGAGCCTCTTTTCGGCACAGTTTAAATTGTCTACTTTTCAGCTTTTCTTGTTGCATTGCTTATGAAATTACTTATTGTAATTATTTCAGTCATCAGCTGATTCATTAAGTTCCCATTTTGGTTTCATTTCAAGTCATGTTGTAAACTTACATATCATAGTTAACAGTGATATTGCAGAAAGATGTATGTTCGATCATTACTATGCATCTAATGTGCATCAGTCTTTGATTATAATTACATGATTACAATTATAATTTTGATAATTTGAATGTTTTTATGCAGAGGAGTAAATTACCTCCACCAGTGTAAACCTGACCCGATAATTCTTTGTGATCTAAAGCCAAAGTAAGATGGAAGAGTATTGAAGTTAGCCTTTTCATTTCATGAACTTCACAGTGAATTTTCTATGTACTTATTGAGTTTTAAACTTACTATTCGAACTTTTGGTAAGGTGCCAGAAATATATTGCTGGATAATAGTGGCCAGTTGAAGGTAGCAGGCTTTGGTTTGATCAAGCTGTCAAAATTATCCCATGATAAAGCAAAGTTAGCACATCACGCAAGCCAAATTAACACTTTGGGTAAGTCATTTGATTCTAGTCTATTGGCCTCTAGTTCCATTGTAGAGTGAACATTTTTTGTTCAGTTGACACTGCTTAGATTTTATTAGTCTTTGTAACTGATTACTCTTATGGTTTTATTCAAAATAAAATAATTCAAGCCAGGATTTCTGAAAGATTGAAATCATTTATCAGAACTGAAATGAAGACTGCATTTGATTTATTTAGGATTTCAGAAAAGATGAAAATGGCCATAGTGAGTAACATTTAGAATAGTGATGGTCTCCAATAGCTGGGCAGGGGACTTCAATTTGATTATTTACTTAAATTTGATTATTTAGGATTTCCATATGGAAAGTTTAGCCAGTCATCCTTCTGCTGTTAGATGTATGTATCTATTTTTGTTGTGGGCTATCAGGTCTGAAACCCGCAATCATATTAAATATTATAGTCTCCTTCATTTAATAAGATTGTTCCTGACTGAATATATGTTGATTATTTATCATGAAGTGAATTCCCGATATACGTTTTCATGCCTAAATTTCAGAATCCTCTTTTATATTTATTGGTAGGTTCATACATAGCACCTGAAGTTTACAGAGGTGAAATATTTGACAGAAGAGTTGATTCATTCTCATTTGGTCTTATTCTTTATGAGGTTTGCCACTGGAGCTCATCTTTTATCAAGTAGTTAGATTTCTTCTCTTCTGGAAATATTTTATAATCGATATGCATATCTATCTCATGCACTGAAGGCAAGCAGCAAATATATTTATACACAGCGTGGGACAAGTTTCCTTCTTTGCAGAACTGTAATAGTTGTGCTTCTTTTATAAAACCATTCTATTTTTGTTATTTTCATCATGAGAACATATTGCCAATCATGGTACTTTAGTGACTGCTTCTGCTTCTGATATTATTCTTATAATCTTAATTCTTCTTTTCATTCTCTGAAGTACTGCCTTGATAGCTTAATTTAATTCTCAAGATCAAGCGTAGGTTACTTTCGATGGTTATTCCATTGTGCTCTTTGTTTTTAAATTTTATTTTTTTAATATTTATATTTTTTATTTTTTAAGTTTTTTATTTTCTATTTTTTTGGTGCGGAACTGGATACAACTGCCTATAGCAATCTTAGCCATAGTTATCAGACGAGACACAGAAGTAGGATATAGTACATGAGAGTACAGCCCTTGAGATATAGGAGAAACAAGATTTTATGTCTGTACATATATGTATGTATGTCTAGTGTGATCTTTTATTTCTTCTTCAATGAACAATTATTTTTACGCAATTTTCTTCTATATAGGATCAGTTTAATTCAACTTTCTTTTAGTTTACTTAGTACATAATATATGTTCTTTTAGAAGTTTTACCATGTAAAACAAACTAATTATGCCAAAGTATATTGGAAGAAAAATATATTCATTTATTCATTTCTCAATAAATTTTAAAACAAAGATTTTGCTAACATGTTACAATGTAGTTAGAGTATCATTCTGAGGTGGGTACCATTCTGCGGTGGGTTTTACCAGTTGCAAATAATAAGGGAAACGTATCATTATAGTATTCCTTAAGTGTCAAAAATGATGTCTTTAGTTTCCCTAAACAATACAGCGTCATTCACTAAAAACTTTTTTTTTCTGACATGAGTGTCCGTCCATATATAATAAGTGACGGGTATCTTTTTCTCAAGAGACTTTCCTCTTGGCATAGGTCAATTCACATGCCATAGCAAGCAGTTTACAACTCAAGCTTCTTCCACAAGATCTTTTGATTCTGTGACCATGCCCTCTCTCGCTTATGGTTCTCTTTGTTCTGAGCTTTAGTGCCGATAGTGCATTATCAGGGAAAGGCTTAGATAACAGTTCTTGAGCATAGCTGCATAAAATATGCACATGCAATTTAAGTGGATGGCTGTTGTTCTTTTAGGAGTTAGCTTGCACAAGGCTATTCGGAACTTGTTTGTACCACATAATAATTGTAGGTTGAAGATAACTTGCAGTTTAGTTGGGTCCCGTGCAGGAAGTTGTGATGCAGAGGTCATTGGACCTAGACCAACATTGTATCCTGTTAATAATTATGTTAGGTTGATGATGTGAATTGTTAACCCACAGTGCAACAGTTAATAAGCAGTTGGTTGACTGGTAAAGTGGTTATTTATGTGATAGCATACTAATCTAGGTATTAACAGTTCAGAGTTCAAAACCTGTTACTGTTTGGTCTGATTTATTGTACCTTTCTGAGCACGGTTTAAAAGTTTGAAGCTGTTCAACAAGGGTCAAAGTCCCAGGAGGAGTGTAGTTTGATGTTATGCATTAATAATGTTCAATCCTATAATTAACCTTTTAGGCAAAAGTTGTTTTTGACAATCCCCGGTTTGGTGGCTATTTGTCACCTCTGGCTATTCAAAATGCATGCAGCTACTTGGCTAGGAATGTGACTGCAGGGAGGGTAATCCCCCTTTGTACTACACCAGAGAGACAAGCAGTGTCGTGCACAAATAATAATATATTACTTTTTTTTTCTTGAGAAAAGACGGTGGATACAAATATACCCCCACCCCATTTTTTCATTAATAAGTATTTACCGAAACATTTCCGAAAGCTAACAAAAGTTTGCTGAAGTATACTAAAAGAAAACAAAAGTATGAGAAAGAGGAATACTAAAAGCTCTATCCAGAAAAAGAAAGGGCATAATACATAAAGCTGATTGTCTCAAAAGAAAGTCCCAAATCAAGAACTGATGCTCTTTCATGTCTATCATACTCCACTCCCTGCTCAACGCAAGAAACACCATCACTCTCACTCTGCACCTATGTGCGAAAAATCTGTTCCGCTCGATCCTTATCCCTTCCTGAAAGAAGAGATGACCAATGAGAATGCTATTAATCATGCCTTGATGATATGTGTAAACATAATGGCATCGAATATTATTAAATATTATATTATTATGCTTCCTCCAAATTTCCCAAATGATTGCAGCCCCACTGAAATCCCAGAGTATTTCTATACGATTTCCGATGCTTTGTCTTCCCCACACACTCCACATTTGCTGCATGGAGGATGGTGGTGTGCGAACCTTAAAAAGTATAAAAAATATTCACAGAATATTGACATTCAAAGAAGAGGTGATTGATTATCTTTGCTTCGCTGTTCCACAAAACATGCATGCTCAGGCCTTGCCACTTACGGTAACAATGACATTTTTTACTATTAACCAGATAAAAGCCTTCACCTTAAGAGGGGCTTTAATGCTTCCAATGATCTTAGCAAAGGGACACCTTTTGCCTCCATCATCGAGAAACTTGTAAGTACCTCTAACCTCGAACATTACAACTACAAGCACGTAAACCGTAATCATGTCTCAAGTCATCCCAACGGTATTAGATAATCATACAAGAGAAATCAAAGACGAAGTCCGGTATTTAAAACAAATCGTACATAGTTGATAGGCTCCCACAATAATGGACAAGTATAAAAGAAATTTGCACAGGGACTCCCTAAGGGCACAGAAGTTCAGGGGTAATAATTGGCACAGCCTCATAACACAGGGGATGTATGTGCAATTAGCCCTTTTTGTTATGAAACCTAGATGGCTAGCAGTTTTGTGTATTTCCTACCAAACATCAAATGGAGATGCATGTTCCAGTTTTACTTTTTCAAATCTCATTGACCGGGCAATACCTTTTATTGTTAATCAGATGAATGAAGGTGCAGCACCCTTTCACTTGAAGGGCCCAGAAGCGGCTCTGAAAATGATTTGCTTGGAGAAAATGAGGCCTCCATTGAAGTACAAATCCAAAAATTATCCTGTTGAACTTAAGGAGTAAGTTGTTTAACTTTTTAATGTTTATTGTTTAACCTTTTAATGTTTATTTTTGTACATTTCATGTTTATTGTGAATTATGATTCAATATAACTGAAATTGCACTGCTCTTTCTTGTAATAAGTTTCATGTACGTTTGATTTCAATAAGATTTGTTTCTTCTTTAGTATCCATCTCATTTCAATGTTAAATGTTTTTGCTTCATAGACAAGCTGGTACTTGTGATGTGCACTTATTTTTTATCCTGTTCCTTCTTCAAAGCATATATTTAGCGTTGCCACTAGATAAATAAACATCTCAACAACATACTTCCTTTTGATGTTAATTTGATGTCCATGCAGGTTGATTGAAGAGTGCTGGGACCCAGATCCTGTAGTCAGACCAACATTTACAGAGATAATTATCCGACTGGAGAAATTATACGCCACTTGTGCAAAACATGGGCGGTGGAAGGATAACTTTAAGATTCGTTGGTATGTTTCTCATTCATCTGTAGAAAAAAAATTCTTTGTTTTAATTTTGAAATCTTCTGTTTATCAAAATAGTATGCTATAAACCGTGATTAATAATTTCTAGAGAACCCGCTGATTATGGTAAAATTGTGTGATTTATAGCATTTCCACACAATGTTTAGGAGAATTTTTCTTAACCTATTTTTATTATCACTTTCCTTCTATTAAGAGAGTGCGAAGTTCAATGACTAACAAATTCTAGAGAGCCTACTGCTAATGCTATAGTTGTATGATTGATAGCATTTGAGAAAAGCCACAATAATTGTAGTTTATCATTGACAAAATTTGAAGTTCTGTTTTTCAGGTTTCTGTCTTTTAGTAGATATTTATGTAAATTAAGATCTATTCAAATCAGAAGGCTCGTCTATGTGAGCACATTTTTGTTGCTTGATCATGATGCTTGTAAGCACTATTGGTCGTTGCAAGCAGGCCTATTTTCAGATGAGTTGTTTTAATATATAATATAATTAGCTTCAAAATTTGAGATAAAATTCAAAAAGAGTACCTTTTCAATTTACTTTTTAAGTTCTGATAATTTTTTTCTCTTTCTAGTATTAAAATAATTCCCATAATCACAGCAGATATGTATTAAACATTTTCAGCCCATCTTTAGAAACTCTCGTGTCTTGATTAGATATCTATTAAATATGGTTCTAACATCAGCATTTAGGAAAATTTTCAATTCTAGATTGGTTTCCTAAGTTCCAAGAACTTAAGATACTGCAACTTATGTTCACTGATTCCCGTATCCTTTTAGTATGACAAGCCAGAACATGTTTAAGCCGCAACATATGAGCGTATAGAAAACATTGGAATCTCAGGATGCAGAAACTATTAATTCAACATTTTAAACTAGCGCTGGTTTTCCTTTTTCCATCAAAAAAATTCTTGCGACCTACTTAAATCCTGGGCATATTATTTTTCAGAGTGGGATAGCTCAAATACATCGATGCCAAGATACATAGTTTTTCTGTTTTTGTACTTTCATTGTCTGTGAATGTCACTTTTGGAATTGCCAAATAGGACACCTATATAGTTCATATATTGATAATCTTCTAAATTTCTGTCAAAATAATCATGGATATACAACCTTTACGTTGCACTTCTGATCCCATTTCCTGCTCTCTTCCCTATTATGTTGCTCTTTGTGGTGTTAATAAAGGAATATATCTCCAATTCATTCAACCTTAAGCCAAGGCTTTAGTACCACAAATTATTAAAAAGATATACAACCTTTACTTTGCACTTCTGATCCCATTTCCTGCTCTCTTCCCTATTATGTTGCTCTTTGTGGTGTTAATAAAGGAATATATCTCCAATTCATTCAACCTTAAGCCAAGGCTTCTAGTACCACAAATTATTAAAAAAAAAATTCTATAACTTAAGTTGGCTGGTTAGATATATTTAGCGTAGTTATAGTTCAAACTATGATTCATGGCTAGCTGGTTCTTTACTTTAAATAAGAAGCTAGGATGCAATCTTAACTCATAAAATTGCTGAATACTTAAGCAGTAGCTCTTTTGAATTCTTGTCCCCAATCGAGCTTCTCATAAAATGATTCTGTAACAGGATATTTCTATAGGAAAACTTGATGCTACTCTACAAATTGGTAAACAGATATTGAGTTTTTCTTCTTCTATTTCGATTTTACGATCTAGTACTACAGTGACAAGAACTCCCAAAATTACTATCATTTATGTGCTCTATAATCTCTCCTTTTAGTAATTTATCCTAATACACTGTGGTTTCTTCCCATTTAACTAATATAATGTTCAGTTTTAGATATGTTACTCATGTTATGTTTTGATAATGTTCCTAACGTTGAAATACATGATTTTATCCTTGCAGGAAATGATGGAAGCATTTCAATTGTTTGCTTTTGAATGTTCCTCTGTATGTAAGAGAGATACCTCTCAACTATAACAAAGCTTATAATACAAAGTTATCCTTGGTAATTATCAACTGGAATGGTTCCTTTATGTATAAATGAATGAAAATATATATTGTTCGTTTCTTCTCTTTCTCGAAAATATAGAGTTGTTGCTTATGAGGCACTCTTAAGGATTTGAACTAATTTCATATTGGTCTTTATGAGAAAATACTAATATCTGATAGGAAAAATACACTGATATAAGAACCCTTTCATTCAAGTTATGAAACCGTAAAATTGAGAAACTAGCAAAATGGTAGCACAGGCAAGATAATGACTCTTTCCATTTGAAAATGAGCTCAAATATTATGTTTAATTTACATCCTGGAGACTTTTGACTCCCCCCCCCCCCCTTTTTTTTCGCCTTTTCAGAAGTAATAGGCGTTATTAACACAATTGTATATAAGTTAAGAGGCAAAAAGTTATGAACTGGTGCCAGGGTCTATTATATGGCTTGTATTTTTGTTCCTCTTTAATTCCTTCAGTTCTGTTAAAATGTGTGTCGTGATGGTCAATGTAACAATAGGGCTGAACACCTATAGTTTCAAATAGATCCTGCGATTTCCCCAGGAGAGTATATACTTTTGCATCGAGGGATCACTTGCAGGTGGATATTTTGGCAGAACACTCCCCCGCGCCAATCAATTGCATGCCAAGGGATCCATTTGACTGGTAAATTATTAACTCGCTCATCTCAGTTCAAGCTATTTGTTTTGCCTCATGTAATTTTCCAACTTGTGTTTTGATGGCTAATTTTCAGGTTCAAGAGCTCAACCTTGTCAAGAAAATGGCAACCCACTGGATTGGCGTCTGGTTGTCCAGTGTCTACGCCTGGAAGGATCACAAGTATGCTGGGTTGTCTAGCTTAATTTCATTTTTGTTTTGGACTAGTATTTATATTGTAGTGAAACATGCATTCATTTGCAAATTAATCGAGACATAATATAACATGTTTGGTGACGATGTTTATCTTTTATGGATCAAATTACTTTTCGATTTGTCGTGTAACCATATACCATATACGTCGTGTGTGATTTTGTATATATATTGTGCGGTTTTGAATGCATATCTTGTGGCATCATGCTTGTCTTGTATGAGGATAAAACCATAGATTGACAACCCCAGAAATATAACGTCAAAATGCTGACAAATTCCAAAAATTCTCGGGTTATTGGTTTTACTGGGAAGTTAGCAACCCGGGGTATTTTCTAATTATTTTGCTAGTTATCCAAGTTTATTAATTCCGATTAGTTAAAAAGAGAATTTTATAGAAGGACCAAACTTTTGCCGCCATCAGAGAACGAAGGGAACGAAGCCTGAGAACGAAGGGAGAACGAAGCTGCCGCCGCTTTTTGGAAAACGAAGACGCCGCCATCAGAGAACGAAGACGCCGCCATCAGAGAACGAAGGGAACGAAGCCTGAGCACGCACTGGAGATTCTTTCTTAAGCTACTTTCTTTTATTCAATTTTATTTTCAAAATCATCAAGCCGCCTCCACCAGGGAACGAAGGGAACGAAGCCTGAGAACGAAGGGAGAACGAAGCCGCCGCCGCTTTTTGGAAAACGAAGCCAGATCCAGTTCGTCTATATCGTCGTGGTTGCGGCCATCACTCTTTGGGAGCCGGCGCTCTTTGGAAGCATCTATCGTAGTCGCCGCCAACGACGACGAAACCCGTCCAACCTGCATATCTCCCGCATATCGCCCACCAACGCCATCGCCCACCCTCGCATCGCCGGGCGGTGTAATTTTTTTTATATACATGGCCACAGTTCAGGAGGAGGGCCACAGTTCGGAGGGTTAATCCTATCTTTTCCTCAGGCGACACAGAAGTTTTTTGTTCGCTGCCCTCTCAAGGGACTTGACGGATGCGCGGCAGGGGGCTCTGAGGGTAGGGGACTCACCCCTGGGTATTTGGTTGTTCACTTACGCAAACATCATCTCAATTCGGAGTCTAAGGTCGAGGAATGCAAGAGGCTTTTAGGCCGTGACATCTCCATTTTCAACGCTTTTGAGGCCACCCTACGTGCTATGGGGCAATGGATGTGTGGTACGTGCTTGAGGATCCGTGCTCTAAGTAAGCATTGTAAACATGGCATGGGACTGTCTGTTTCACCACCTTTAGAGGATGACGAGGGCAATGTAGGGTGTGTCATTGGGTATCACTCGGCCTTGCGCCCCTCCTATCCTCGAGTCTGTGTCACCTATCCCCTCCTTGGGTCCACAGCATTGTAAGCTCGATAGTAGTTCACTTGAAAGGGTGTTTAATTGGGGTTTTCGAACGGTTAAAAGTGTTCCCCCATCTTGTAGGTTGGCGTTCTCGGCTGCCCTCAAAGCCTCGTTCTTTGGGGTGTCCTCCAACCCGCGATCTTGTGACGCTTGGGTACGGCTTTTGATCTTGCCATGTTGCACTTTAAGGGTTATTAAAACCCATGATCGCAAGAGTTCAAGGTCAGGTAACAGAAAGGCTCTTCAACAACGGCATATCTTGGAGGCATTGTCCACCTGGGGTGAGGTTGGAGGCCCCCAAAAACTCCTTGACACCATGTTCAGAGAGCTCCCTTCTCCCCCCTCTGCCCGACTTGACGACCCTGGCGCTCGCCCAACTGCTAACAATGTTAAACAGTGTTTGAGGAAGATATCGGATGGGCACTATTCAGCGGCCGTGAAGGTCCTCACGTCCTCGGGAGTTGCACCAGACACGACAGTCCCTTGAGGACAAGCACCCTTCGGCGCCTCCTCCGGTGTTGCCAGCTTTTGGGTATGATCAAGAGCCGCTCTTAGTGGACTGCGGGGAGGTTCTCCATTGCATTCGGTCCTTCCCTAAGGGGACTTCTTGTGGCCGTGATGGCCTTCGAGTTCAGCACTTGTTAGATGCACTTTGTGGTCCGGAGTCCACTATTGCTAACGACCTTCTCGCGGCTCTCACTCCAGTGGTTAATTTGTGGCTGCAAGGGTGTTGTCCGGCCTCCTTGGCGGAGTTTATTGCTAGTGCTCCCCTCACTCCGTTGTTGAAGAATGATGGGGGCATAAGGCCGATTGCGGTAGGTACCATTTGGAGGCGTCTCGTCTCTAAAGTGGCCATGAAGAAGGTGGGGAATGACATGACGAGTTATTTGGGAGATTTTCAGTTTGAGGTGGGAGTCTCAGGAGGGGCAGAAGTAGTTTTGCATGCGGTTAATAGGTTCGTTGATGTCCACCATGCGGATGACTCGCTCTCCATGCTTTTGGTCGACTTTCGGAATGCATTTAACTTGGTCGACAGGAGTAGTATGTTGCGGGAAGTACGTCTTAAGTGTTCGGCGATCTCTCCTTTGGTGGAATTTCTATATGTGCAGCCCGCTAGACTGTATTTGGGGGTGGATCACATTTGGTCTGCTCAGGGGATCCAGCAGGGGGATCCACTAGGGCCTCTGTTGTTCGTACTCACGCTTCACCCGTTGATTCTACGAGTGCAGGAAGAGTGCAAGTTGGCTCTTCATGCTTGGTACTTGGATGATGGGTCATTGATCGGGGATACTTTGGAAATTGCTAAGGCATATAAGGTGATCGAGACTGAAGGCCCAAGGCTCGGGTTGGACCTCAATGTAACCAAAACTGATATATTCTGGCCCTCACCGGATCCTAGAAGTTTGCTGGAGGGGCTTTTTCCCTTGAATATCAGTCGACCTCGTGATGGAGTTAGGCTTTTAGGTGGAGCAGTTAGCATGGATGAGGGGTTTGTTAGTGGGTTAGCAGCGAAGAGGGTGGCGAAGGCGACTCGGTTAACGGAAGCGTTGGACCAGCTTAGGGATCCACAGTGCGAGCTCGTCCTTTTGAGGGCTTGTGCGGGTTTGTCCAAGTTGTATTTCGCCTTAAGGACTTGCCCGCCACAGCTCTTTGGAAAGATGGCGACTCAGTTTGATATTGCGCTTCGGAGGTCAATCGAGAGCATTGTCACATCCGAAGGCCCAGGCTTCGGGGATCTCCAATGGAAGTTGGCCTCTTTACCTATCAAGGCAGGCGGGTTGGGGGTCTATGCAGCGGCCGATGTCATACAGTTTTCTTTTGTGGCCTCTTGGATTCACTCCATCGAGCTCCAAGACCACATTTTGAGAGGTTGTGGTGAGGTCTCTTTAGGTGAGCATTTTACTACCGCTCGGGGCTCTCTTCAAGCCAAGCTACCTGAGGTTGATCTTCTTAAAATCACCACTAAAGGGTCTGTCCCCCCAAAACCAATGCGTTATTTGGCAGACATATTTTATGGTGGCGTTTGTAGAGATTTATCGACAGAGTTTGACCTTTCAGAGAGGCAGGTTGCGATTGTTGAGTGCATGCGGGCAAAGCACGCCCAGGATTTCTTGTTGGCCACGCCTATTGAGGGTTTGGGGCAGCGTATGACTCCGGGGGAATACCAGGCCATCCTTAGGTACAGGTTGTTGGTTCCTTTATTCGTGGAGGGGACAGTGTGTCCAGTTTGTCGTAGGACGCAGATGGATGCTTTTGGAGAGCATGCCATCCATTGTCAGAAGCAGCCGGGGTTCAAGTACAGGCACGACTTAGTCAGAGATGTCTCGTATGATATCCTCCAGAGAGTAGGGATCTCATCAAAGAAGGAAGCGCCGGTCAACTTCCTCACTCCTCTTGAAGAGGCTAGATCTACTCTAAGGCCGACAGACGTTCTTGTCTACAGTTAGAGCAGGGGGAAGCATGCTTGTGTTGATCTTACAGGGGTGTCTCCGTTGGTGGGGTTTGGTAATGGAGAGTTCAAGGTTGGGCATGCAGCGGATAGAGCGGCAGAGGCCAAGGTGGGCAAACATGATCAAGCTTGTTCGCTTTTGACACGTTTGGTTTCCTTGCAGCTGATGCGGTGGAGTTCCCCAGGAGGGTTCAGAAATTCGCGAATAAGAATGTGGCGACAGCAGAGTCCGCTGAGTATGTGTTTCGTAGGTTAGGTTTTGCAATTCAGAAAGGATTAGCGGCGCAACTTGTTGCCCGCTTGTCATCATCACATGTGTAATATTTTTATATCTAATAAAATGTTTAATAACCTGTTAAAATATTATAATATCCTCTTCTTCCTTGGTGTACTATGTTCAAATCCTTAAACACTTTTCAATTTAAAAATAACTACAATCTGGGCGCCCTTGAGATTATCCGCGCCAATTAACAAAACCCAAGGGCATCTTCGGTCTTTAACAATAGACGCTTCCCATTCCTGCATCATTGGCTCCTCACAGGAACATTTCCCATGACAAATGACGAAAATACCCTTAAATTGGTAACAAGGAGGCTTCCATCCTAAAGTGTGGCGGTGTCACGTGCGCCCTTGCACCTAATCAGATCTCGCATCCTTCGTAGTTGACTGTGATCTAAACGCCACGTCGCCGAAAAGACCTGCCGCGATAAGCTAGTGATAGATTAACGCTATTTTAAAATTATCGCGAGTAGCTAACAGCGGCGGAAGATGAGCTACCAAACCCAGTCACGGCTCTGACATGAAAAGAAATAAGCGTGGCACGATAAGTTAAGCGATATTTTGGGTAGGCGGTCAAATATTTTCGCCACGAAATTTCAAAATTTCAAAATCCCCAAAATTGCATTATTTTTATACGATTTTTGGCCTCTCCCAGCGCACAAGTGAAACGAGGCAAGTCTTTGTAGTAAAAATTCTCTCTATTCCCTTTTTCTCTTTACTTATTGCTTCGCCCCCCTTTTTCTTAGAAAATTTGTGCGATTCTGGTGTAATTTGGATTATGAGCGAGATCCAAGGAGATTTCCGTAAAACTTCCGTCGGCTGAGCTTGGAGTTGGGGATTTTCGAGCTTGAGCGGAGTTAGGGTTTGGAAAATTGGGGAATTAGGGTTTTAGGGTTTTGATTTGGGAAGGATGTTCTATTCGCAGTTTATATTAGCAAAGAAGGGGACTTTAGGGACGATATGGATAGCTGCGCATCTGGAGAGGAAATTGAAGAAGAATCAGGTCGCTGATACTGATATTGGAGACTCTGTAGGTTGGTTTCTCGAATTATTCTTTTTTATTGCAGAATTTTCTGTTTTGTAGTTTAGTTAGCGTGACAAATGAACTTAATTTTGTTTTTTGTTTTTGTTTTTGTTGTATTAGACCATCTCTATATCTCCAAAATCTTCAAATTTGGAGAGTGGAACCTCTCCAACCACTCTCCAAATTTGGAGATCTCCAAATTTGACCCTCCAAATTTGGAGGGTGAGGAGAAAAAATGGAAGGTCTCTCCATAACACTATTCATAGTTTATTAATTACAATTTTGCCATTTTTAACTATTTGATTTTTTAAAAATTTCCACTTTGCCATCCTTCTTAGTAATTTAAATTAGATGTTTAATTTTAAATAAATATAGTTAAAAAACTATTAATCTAATATTTGAAATCATTATATATTTGGAAAGGGCTCGTTGAGATCTTTAAAATGAAACTAAGATTAATTTATTTTAGTATTATTATAAAATTATTAATTTTTAAATTAAATAAATAAGTATCAGACATAAAATTTTAAATACGGGGATCTATTTAACTTGCTCCATAAGAAAATACAAGCATAAATTATAATATTTAAATTACATTCCTTCGTTACTGTGCTTCTGCCATAAATGTTCAATTAGTGCGTTTCGAAGCATAAAATGAGCTTCCCTATCTTGAATCTTCCTATGTCGATTAAGGAATCGTTGGAGTCGTTCAGCATCATCAATATCTATCTCTTCAGGTCTTGAAATTTCGTCATGAACAATAATCTCTGGTTCTGCATCGCGTTCATCCTCCACAGTCATGTTATGTAGTATAATATAAGCATCATTATGTCGTGTAGTCTCCGCTTGTCCCAAGAACGTGATGGTCCCTTGATAATGGCAAATAGTGACTGAAGAACACCAAAAGCCCGCTCTACATCTTTTAATATGTTGTATTGCAGTATTAATATTGGGTTCATTTTAAAGCTTTCATCGACACCTTTATAATGTTATAATTTTTTTTTCAAATAAAATATTAACAATAAAATTATTAACGTAAACTATATCCAATATTATTTAATTTATATGGCTTTTTTAATAAAAAAAATAAAAATAAAAACATTTAGAGAGTGTGGGTTGGAGCAACCCTCCAAATTTCACCCTCCAAATTGGAATATTCCTAGAATATTCTAATTTGAAGGGTGAAATTTGGAGGGTATGGTTGGAGATGACTTTATACTTGAAAATATTGAAAAATGATGAACTTTTGTGGAATGTTCCTAAATTTGCTATTTTGGTGGAAGCATTAGTTACAAATTATTACTCTTTTTAATGTTATTTTGATGTGAGTAATGGTTTAGTTTAAACAGTAACAATGGAGTGTCCTATTAAATTTGAAAGCATGTCATCTACTTAATTATTATTGTTATTAATGTTCTTTTCGGAATTAAACTCGCCATAAAGAAATTTTGGATTTTTTTTTTTGGTAAATGCTGTTGGAATGAGGGCAGTGGTCTAGTTTGAACTTATCCTCATGTTTGTGTTAAGAAAACTTAGTCTTTTTTAGCATCAAAATGATAGAAGTTTCTCATGTTTCTTTTTATCCTCTCCTTTTACAGTATTATTGGTGCTAGAACTGCATGCCTTTGTGCTGAATACATTATTTGTCTTAAAATATGTTATTTACACCTTCACTTAAATTGATTAAGACATTTAATCTGCAATGAACATGAAACTGGGTGTATAAGCAGGAGCCTGGTTTTGGTATGAGAAAACAAAAGCTCAGCTAAAATACTTGGATATAATGGAATTGCACTTCCCAAAGTCTAGTGTTGATATTAACATGTAGACAATACAAGAAAACCCATAAAAGTCTGAAATTGAATGAAGAACTAATTAAACAATGAAAGATGATTAAAAATTGTGAAATCTTCATTGCCTCCTGATCTCTTTTTCCATTTTTCCATACATCGTCTGAAAAGTGATCATCTTTCTTTCTATGGATCTATTTCCCAACCTTTTTATTTCTTCTTACCAATTGCTACATTTTTTTGCATTGCACAAACCTTTTCTACCCAACTCTAATTTCTCTGATCCAACAATCCTAATCCCTTGTTTGGTATAATCTTACGTAGATGTATTACTGGTCCATTTTGCGGCATTGTGCACAATTTGCAAGTATTGGAAAATAAGGCATGTGCAATGTTACCTGGCTTGTTTTTCATGAACATCCTGTGTCTGCCGAGAAAGGTCTATCAAGTAGTTGTTATGCCATCAAACATTCAAGTTTGCTTCATTAATTTTATATGCACTATGTACTTGTCATGGTATGTGGTTGCTGAAGTTCCCCGTACTGCGAGGATGATTATTTCTTGATTCTGAGAATGCAAAGTACACAATACTATGTATCATCTACCATGATACAAAGAGACAAAGTAAAAGAAAGAGTGATAGGCATTATATAGTTGTATCACAAGATGCGGTTGCTGAACCTCAAAGAAAAAATAATGAATAAAGAAGTTAGAGGACTGAGCCCTAACCATGGAAATCGATAACAAAATGAGCAAATTCAGTAAAGGGAAATGGGGTTGGGCATTCTTTATAATATTAAATTTGGGCTTGAGTTGGTTCAATTAAATTGCTGGCTTCTGATCTTTGAGTAGGACCACTTCATCTTGATTAGCGCTTCATAATTATCCTTATTTCTCCTCATCGGTCTGACTTCAGCTTGATGCTGGTTTTGCTTTATTATCAATTGGAGCGAACAATTGATTAGGGCACAAAGTATAGAAGCAAACAAACTAGGATGTGGGAGATCAAATTTGATGACTATGGCTTATTTTGGTAAAAATATAATAACTTGTCGTTTTGAGGCATAGATATTTTTTTAAACTTCAAAAAACCAACCAATCCATCAGTTAATCCCATACAGGTAATGAGATTCATTATGAGCTATACAAAATAATTTTCATATTGTTGATATATGTCAAAAAGATACTACCAAATTATTTTTCCATATTGTTATGGCATACCTTGGGCTTGGAAACAATATAGAGGCCAATTTACCTGCTTTCCATCTTCAATATATTAAATATTTAAATTATTACTTCATAAGGATTTCGTCTCGATATAGATAATTACGTTGTATGCATAACATTTTCCATTGCCTACATACTAAATGACTAAATTAAAAGTCCACTATCTTCCATTTTCATACCTCTAGATTATATATTTTATTACCTGTTGTACCTAAAGCAATTGTCTTGTTACAATTGTCTTGTTAGTGGACCCTGTTGTGAGGTAAGCCCTAAATGAAGTGTGATATTTAGGTCAGTTTATTGGATGATGTTTATCAGAAGGTGTTACATTCTCAGTGCTAGTTAAAGTTGTTATGGACAACTGAGTAATGATGATTGATGCATTTACTTAGTTTTCACGTAAATTACACAATTATCAACAGAATCAAGCTTGTAATCAACTGATTGAGTTGGATAGCGCTACTTGTCCATTTGTGTGAGCCAAATTTATGACCAGCTACTTTTGTTTTTTAGGAATCTGCATTTCAAATTTCTTTAATAATTTTCCTGATTGTCCTGTTCTCTGTCTTAATTTCTTTCCAATTTAAGTACTGCCTTACTTTACTTCCGTGTGAGAAGTTGCTTAGGAAGATGTATTGTTTGGATGAGACTTGTAAATATTTGGAGCCAAGTACCTTTGTTTTTGGCCTAGAAGAATTCAAATAACAAATATTTTATTTTTTATTACTTATTATGCCAATATTAATTATTGTAAAATGTCAGAAGGCATGCATTAGAAACCATGTCCACCTGCTTATTAGTAAAATGTACATGACCATGTTTGCCAGTGCATTGGCATATGAAATCCCTGTAAATTTGTAGCTTATCACCATTTTAAATCACGATGACGGCTTTGTTTGAATATTATATTTTTATGTACATTTAGCCGGCTTCACTGGCATTTAAGTTTAAAGTCACTGTTACATAATTTCTATCTCATAAATATACCTGTATCAGATTGTAGTTACTTTGAGCAGCCTTACTAATTTGCTGTCTATTTTATTCCTATTTGCAGATTCCATTCTTTTTCCTGATGTGCCAATCGCTCTTCGATTGTCAAGCCATCTTTTGCTTGGTGTGGTCAGGATATATTCCAAGAAGGTGAATTATCTCTTCCATGATTGCAGTGAGGCACTGCTCAACGTAAAGCAAGCTTTTCGGTCAACTGCAGTCGACCTTCCTCCAGAAGAATCAACTGCACCATATCATTCAATTACACTGCCAGAAACTTTTGATCTTGATGATTTTGAGCTACCTGACAGTGCTTTACTCAATGGGTCAGTTCCACTCATTACATGTGTACAGCTTTGGGAGAAGTTTTTCTTGTATCTTTCACATATTGTAGGATCTGCTTTTTTTATGTATATATATATGGATGACTGTGTGGTGAAATAAGGATTTTGTAATGTAGAGTGCTATAACCATTGTCCTTGCTTACATATCAAATGTTGCTTTGCAGTAACTTTGATGACCGCCATGTCAGTACAAGAGAGCAGATTACACTTCAGGATACTGTGGATGGCACTGGATACTCCACATCACAATTTGGATTAGATGGTAACTATTTTATTAATCATGTCTCTTTAATTGTGAATATATGTTGTGTGTCAACACTACACTGAGATGTGTGCGCTAATATTTGATTGCACAGATAGATTTGGTGATGGAGATGCTTCTCAGATTGGTCTGGAGCTTGACGAGGTATAAACTTTTCTTCTTCTTTTGTCTTTAGTGTTTGCAGTTTGATAAGGTTAGCATTTTGGAGGTGGTCTCCTAACAGGTGAAAGTTTAGAAACCTCTTAGTGAGTAGGCTATGAAAATCTTTTCTTTTCTCTCATGTTAATTCTGATTTTGAATTATATTAGTCTTCTGCTTCTTGCTTTGTTACACACAGGAATTATTATTGGAGAATAATCTCACACTTCAAGATGCTCAAGTTTTGGACAGGTAATCTGTGTGCTTCCTGTCTGAAAGTTTCTCCTATAGTTGAAATTTTCTTCATTGTGATTTTCCTTCTGCTTTGTAACTTCGAGTTGATATTAACTTTATCTGTTCAGAACTTGTTCTAGATTTTTTTTCTACTTCTGTCTAATATTTAGAAAGTGCTGCATCAGGAGGACACTGCACTTTCAACTTCAGCTGCTCCTAACCAAAATATCCTACGTTTAGTGCTTGGTGTATTGATTTGATTTATTTAAAATTTTCTTCGTGAAAGGAGTGTATGCATGCTAGATCTCAGGCATAAGATGAATTCATTTTATTCTACGTCATTTATATTAAGTATTTTTACTTATACCCTCAAAATCTATGATAATTTTTAAATTTACTGCCAAATCTTCATATTTGAGATTTGCCCTGTCAGAGAATGTACTTGGTATATTCCTTCATATTGTTATTTTTTCAACATAGAACTAAATTATGCTGGCACACTTAATTAACCCACTAATTAGCTTCTTTCTCAGGTGAAAAAAAGAGGGGAGGCCCGGAGGGGGAGAGGGGCGGCCTCCATGGAGATTGCCAGTTGTTCGGGTGGCTGTGGCCCCACTCTCTCCCCCCTCTTTGTTTTTGGATTTTGGGGTTTACAGTGGTAGAAGATTAGGGTCGTACATGAATTTACCCTGATTCTTTTAGAAATTTATAATAAGTTCAGGGTTAAACTAATGGTTTTTGAGGGTAAATTGGTAAATATGAAGATCCAGGGTAATTTTAGAAATGCCACATATTTGACAGGTATAGATGTGAAGAACCCCTTTATGGTATCATATACATAGTATAAGATAAGTATAGCATTAGATAAATAGGAAAAAGTGCATAATCTCGACGAATTCTTCATGGGTAAGTCAACTTTGATTATCTATCGATCAACCAATAGTATGAGACCATTAATATGGTTAAAGCTAGTCTATTTGGAGTCTGGACTTAAATCCTCTCTTTCTATGCTATTGTAATACCTACATGATGTGAACAGTGAACCATTTACTAGAATAAGAAATAAGACATTGCCTTTTATTACTCGATGCCAAAGTGACCTGTATATAAAACAGAGGAAATTTCGCCTTGAACCAAAAAGGAAATAAAATGACAATTGTATATATTTTCAATTAAAGAAATAAAGAACAAATAATGAAATGAGTTTTCTGATAATTATATTATGGTTTTTCTCTTAACTAGCCATGCAGAACTTCCTCTGCCTGAGACAGTTGTCCACTATAGATTTATTTTGTTTGTGTTTCTCCTATTCCTTGTTTTTCTTTTCCTAATTTTAAGTTTCTTTTTGCCTTAGTGATGTGCATCAGGGAGATGGTACAACTGATCTTACTAAAATGGACACTGAGGAATGCCAACATGGCCATGATGAGTATAGGAATGATGGAGCTTCAATGGAATTATCTGAGCTTCTATGCAATAAGCGGGGAAAGCATGTGTTGTTTTCCCATGCTGAAAATGTAAATGGGCATGATGATTCTTCTCATAGATTAATATTCAACATTCAAACACCTGACCTTAATGAGGTATTTTTATCTGATGATCATATTGGAGGTCCATCTGCAGCGCATGATACTGATATGGAGTATGCTGGTGATGATCCTCCATCTCCGGAGTTCAATGAATCTGCTAATTTTCCTTTCAAACCTGGTTCTGTTCTAGCAATAAATGATGCTTGTCACAAGCATGATGCTAACAATGTACTAGGGGTGTCTTCCACTACCTCAGTTTTGACTGAATTACACCCACTAGCATCACAAACTTTAGGCGTGATTTTGCCTGGATCTGATGCAGCAGGAAGTAATATCATAGCTTCTGAGACAAGTGATCCCAAGATGGCATGCATTTCTCAGGTGTTGCCTTGCTCCAACTTAGTATCTGATTCTCTCATACCTCAACGTTCTGGTGAGACTATAGCTGCTCCTGCTGCGGGTTTAGGATGGACTTCGAAGACAGCTGATACTTTAAATGATGGAATTACTTGCAGTGAAGAAAATGCTCGACTAATTTCTGTGGGGAACAAAATGATGTCAGGAGTGAACTTGGATATGGACAGAATTGCAGTTCAGGATATCACCAGGTTATCAAATCTCGATCAAGGCCGCATAGAAGATGCACACTCTTGTCAGACAAGCAATTTCTCTGCTTTGAGCTCTGATTTTCATTTGAGATCTTGTACTTCAGAGTCCAATCAAACAAATTTAATATCTCCAGAGGTTATAGTCCAGAAAGGGGACCAAGGGATGTCTTTCAGAGAACAACCTTCCATTTTGGAAACCGCAGTGGAGGATCAGGAAATGCATTTTAGCAGATCTTCAATGACTATGCAAGGTTTATTCTATCAACTTTAAGTACTTTTTGTGTTTGCACTTATAGACAAATTTAATTGGATTGGTTAGCAATATGATGATTTAATTTCAATTGCAGCTTTTGGCTCAGCTATTGCAGTTGATACTAACTTAGGAGTTCATCAAAAGTCCAATGATATGTTGTTGGGGATGACTTCAGTTAATAATCCAATGGATCTGTCAAGTAGTAGTATTTCTAAAGATGTGCAGTCTGGTCATGGGAACTGCTTTTCAACTTCTGAGTTTTCAGAACCTGAAAGAATGCGCTTTGCTCTATCCGGAAATGTTGGTCTTCTAAATGATGTAGGGCAGCAAACTACGGAGAAAGAAGTCACTGAGTCTGATGGAAGCGTAGACAGGATCAGCAATGTTTCTGGACAGAAGCATTATCTAATGGATATCACGCCTGATCTGCAGAATGGCATATCACCCAAAATTTCTGGAATTCCACAAAAGAAACGAAAAAATGATTATATTCCCAATGATGATGATTTATTGGCATCAATTTTAGGTACAGAATAGTTTATGTTTCATGTCTTGATTGTGCTTCTCTCTCATGAAAAGTTCAGCTATGGAATTTGGTTTAATTCTTATTATTGGTGCTATTTCACACTTTTTTATTTACCATTGTTTTATTGAAATTGAAATTTGGTTTCTTCAGTCGGAAGGACACCGGCCTTCATAATAGGGCCAACTCCACCTCTTCCAAAACCACCACCTTCAAAGCGTCCTCGCTTGACAACCAAGGTTGGCTTTCCCAAGAGGAGGAAGGTGCTCCTAGATGATACTGTTGTGTTACATGCTGAGTATGTCATCTTTACATATTTTTTTGTAGCTCTACATTTTTCTCTCATATTGTTTCAAAGTTTGATAACATATTTTGTCAGCTATGTGCATGTATCTTTTCTTCAAAGTGGGGAACAAATTTATCCATACTATTAGGGAAATTCAACTGTCCATGTCATTGAAAATCTCTTTCCTGATCTGTAATCTCTTGGGTTCTTGGTGAACCATCAGCAGTTATTTTCTTTTACCTTTGTACATTTGTCTTGAATTTCTTTGAGCTTCTTTATGCTTCATTCCTTACGCGGGCGGGGGGGGGGCGGGCGGGGGGGGGGGGTGGCAATATTTTAGTCAATTTCGCACCAAATTTTTCTGTCAATATGATTCTAATTTTGATGTCTTGTACTGGCTGGTCTACAGTCGTTGAAGGCCGTAGACATTATCTGCAATGCAGGGATAAGACTGCTCAATATAACCTCTCTAGACCCCATAATGGGAAGTCCTGGGTGCATCCTTTATTTCTTTGTGGCCTTCCAGTAACAAATATATGAGTTACAAATATCCTGGTTTTGGTTCATCTATGTTCACAACGTAGAATAGTGCTCATAAATCAAGGATAGTTAGAAGCATAAATTTCAGCTTGCAGCCCTTCAAATGCATCACAGTAAATCAAATCTATGGGCCCTTGAGGAAGAAATTTAGTGCTAGCATCCTTTCTGAATATTTTATTTTCTTCTTTCACCTTCTCATAGAATGTTTACTCTATTACCACATGCATACAAGAGTTAACTATAGCTTAGCTACTTATCCAGGATGGGGTTGATGGTACTAGTTGTAAATGTTATAACTTATGAAGAAGGTATTTAGTGGGCTATGCTTATTCATCCACCTATAGGGACTGAGTTAGATCCCATATTGCAATAATCAGCAAATAATTAGTTCGCAATTAATTACTAGTCTATAATTCTACTTTGATCATCAACTTCTAGCCAAGCAAATTGTCTGTAAAAGATCTTCCTTAGCACAAGCTTATTCACAGTATTGTATTATATTACATCTGTAAATTCCTAAAGTACAAAAGTACAGCCCTTGCAACAACTTCGACAACGAAGTCGTCAATCCAAATTCCCGTGTTAGTTATATGCTCCCATTTTTCCGTTCATTAATACTGAGGGCTAACTCCTTCATTGAATTAACCACTATCATATCATTATTTCCCGTCAGGTTCTCTGGGCCAACCTTTTTTCCTTGTTCCATTAGTTACAATCTTTCACTTCTCATAATGATGTCTATTACATATGCCCAATCAATCTCATGCTATTCTCGCTCATTTGATCCTCAACAAGAGCGACCTTTAATTTTTTATGACCACACATTTCTTATCTTACTTGAATACATATTATCCATACGTCCATTGTAACATTCTCATTTTTGCTACATATTTTTTGAGCATGTAGTGTCTTACTTGCCCACATTTTTTCCAACGAACAGAGCTCAAATCAAGGTTTTAAATATCGGCTATCGGGAATTTATTGGACAGTCAAAATCCATATTGGATAGCAGATATCATGAATATATCAGAGATAAGTAGGATTTATCGGAGTGATATTACCGGATGGTGATATACATAATGTAATATTCTAAAATGTAATCTAACCATACTTAAAACATACTAAAATGTAAATAGTTATATTTAGGATCACTAACAATGGTAGAAACTCGGGTCGGGTTTAAAGTGCATTGAATGAGTGTCTGTTGCCTGAAATCAAAACTCAAATCAAAGACTGATAAATCCGATTTTTTGGGCTAACAATATCGGCTCATAACTCACTTTATTGCTGCATTATTGGCGATAAACATCCAACAATGATAACCGACTTAGAATCAAACTTAGCATAGCGGAAGACCCCCAGAATTGATCAATCGCTGATAATATCGGTTTATCGGCTGATATTTAAAACATTGGCTCAAGTATATTACGAATAAAGATGAAAAACCAATGTATTTTGTTAAAGGAGATCATATGGAACTTAGACATTAATTCAATCCATGATGAGAATCGTAGGGGTTATTTATATTATCTCAAGTTAAAAGTTCTTTGAAGAGTGAAAATTGAGATAAGGTCTCCCCTCTGGGCCTGATAGTGTGCCTATTAAGGGCATGTTTGGCTACTACTTATTTTATGATTCCTTATATAAGTTACTTGCTACTTATTTTTACTTGTTTTGTTAGAGGGCAAGATAGTCTTTTAACATCAATTAGGAAATTTACTTATAAGTGGCCAAAAAATAAGTTAGATTAAGCGAACTTATTTTTTCTTATGAGTTGAAAATAAGTAATAAGTAAATCCACACCAAATATAATTTTGGCTGCTTATAAGTGCTTATAAGTAAAAAAAATGCTTACAAGTGAAAGTAAGTGTGTTGCCAAACATGCTCTAAGGTGTGAGACGGGTTTAGTATAGTTAAGCTATCTAATATAGTGCCAGAAAAATGTTTGATAAGCTCGCGATAGGCAAGATGTCAAGGTGATCTTGCATATATACCATAATAGTTCAAACTACTAACTATTCGGTAAGAGTTTAAGAGAATAGTTTGAAGGCAGACAGAAAATGAACCATCATGTCAACAAATCAGTTTGTTTACTTGGTGGAATGATTGAAAAAATAACTAGAAGGAAAAGGATATAAAAAATATGTTTTTAATTGATCTATGAAGAGCTTTTGCCTAGGAAACTGTGCGGTGGCTTAATCTTTTGGGCGTGAGAGTCTTCCTTTGTGTGAAAGGTTGGAATAATTGATATCTTTGTTGTTCGCCACACTTTTTTTGCTGAGTATCTAGCCCCATGTCTCTGCTTTTTTTTATAACTGGCATATGCTACATATGCTGGCATTTGTTTTTTAATGTTTTGTTGTGATGTAAACTCCCCCATTTGCAGTACAATACGGCAACAATTGATTAATACTGAAGACATACGCCGGATGCGCAAGAAGGTTCCTTGCACACGTCCTGAAATTTGGAGAATTCAAAAAAGTTTACTAAAAGATGACCTTTTCAGTGAAACCATATTCACAGGTGAGCCCAACATGTCAACCTATTTTCTTAATATCTGTCCTCGTGTTGTAAATTTTCTATTTCTTATCAACACAAGCGTGGCAGAAATTCTTTGTCTAATGATCTGTGTTTTGTAGGTAAAGTTTACTACTTTATTGAGTATTCATTTTTGCTTTGCTGACGGTTGTTTGCTACCTGTAGGTGTATCTGAAGAGCTAAATAGATTACTCACTCGAATATATGATCTGGGTCGAACTGTACATTCTCAAACTAATCGACAACATCTTAGTGAAGCAGAGCACGAGTTGGAACTTTCTAAGAGCTTAGGTTTTGTTAGGAATAATGATGGTATGGCTGATCAGAGTGCAGTTGTACCAAAAAGAGTGTATGGTGAATCACAGGGACCTTCAGGCACACCTGAATTAATTGACACACAAAATTGCAAAAATGCTGTCAATATTGATGCTCAAGGTCGATCAGAATTCCCACTTGATCAGTTGGATCCATCACAGAACACAACTTCAAGAACAGAATTAGGTGCACTTGGGATTTCTTCAAATGAATGCGCACTTCCAACCGATTCTAGAATTGAAGAGAAGCATGATGATATATGTCCTGATCCTGACCAAAACTCACACCATGAACTTGTGGAGGTCAATAATAACACGCTACATGTTGGTGAAAGCACTTCTTTTGAAGACTTCACTTCTGATTATGCAGCTGGAGATGGGGTGATCAACAACAACATTGTACTTGGTGCAACTAGTAATAACATTTTGCTTGAAGTGGACAATTTTTCCAACTCTAGGGCTGCATCCATCACTGTGGAAGACATGGGTGTGGATATGATACCTGTACCTAGCTTAGATTGCCCTCTGGATTCTGTCCAAGCTATTGGATTAGTTGATGGTAGGCCAGATACCAGAGAGTACCATGACATGAAGGAATCTGAAGACGGAAGGTTAACAGATGGGTGTGAAACTGCTGTGGATGAGGAAAGGCCTATTTCTGTGGTCTCTTGCAGAGAAAAGCCTACATCAGAAAGTGAACGTGTTGTCTCCGCGGTTGGTGAAAATTCCTGCATGAACATAGAAAGTGGTCCGGATGTGGAAAGTGCTCATATGGAACTTGCTGCTACAAGAGAGTCTAGTGTAAGTCACATGAATTAGTTAATTCTTACACGATCCATATTTCAGATGAGCATATAGATAAAATTGAATTAGGTTAGTTGCGGATAGTCTGCCCTGTAGTTATATTGTTGCAGATAGACCCCCTTGAGTGAAATGTTTTTGACTACCTTACCCTCAAGAGGTATATTTGTCAGGGAAAAAAAAATCTTTATCTAAGGGTAACAGGGTAAAATATTCACTCGGGGTATATCTGCAGAAATGGAACTACTGGGGGTCTATTTGCAATGGAGATACTACAGGAGTTCTATCCACAATTAACCCAATTTAATTATAGCTTGTAGGGCTCTGATGCCCTGCGATGAGTAACTTTACACTAATTTACTGTGCTAATCAGCATGCAAATAGTTCTGTGCATACATTCTGATGCATATAGCCTCATGACAGCATTATCTGCAGTATGTTAATACTTTTAGGTTTGTCTGTTGTTAATTCATCAATCATTTATATAATGTTATTTTCGTCACCTTTCTAACTATTCTTATGGTTTTCTTGTAATTTTCTTTTTATTCCTTAACAGGACTTCTGTAGTGCCATTGATGACATTGATACAGGTAGTGTTCTTTCTGCGACTGGAACTTGCGGGCTTTACTGCCTATATTTTTTTTTCTTGTACAAACATAAGAATTAATAGATTCAATTGTAGCTGTCATAATATTAACTTATTAAGCTTGTGTATTTCAGTTAAAGGTGCTGCCTAGGTAATAGTAAACTTGCGGCCATTTTGGCAAAGGGCAATTTCTCTTAATAGATTAGATTTTAGTCCTCATGTAAAGCACAGAGTATTTACTCGCTATAAAAAGATGGAATATGGTATTTTGTGTGGCAAACACGTGCTGTCTCTTTTACTTTTTATTCCAGTTTTCCAAAGCTTGTAATAAATAAAATGCATTAGGTTTAGAGTCTCCTGTTCTTTGTTTCTGGATGTACATGAGATTTGTGTGCATTTATAGTGGATGTCTAGATTTTAGTGTGGTTTTCCCCTAATAATTGTTCTTTTTTGTTTTCTGTTAGATTTTCTAAATGCAGATGATGAAGTTGAGTATGATGAAGAAACAAATAATGATGTGCCGAATCACGAGCCTCAATCCTTGGACACTGGATGGTCTTCACGCACAAGGTAAGCATTTTTCTGTATTATTCTTTACATATATACATTATGTTATGTGTGTACATGTGCACTTGTATATGACAGTGTCGGTCTTAGTAACATAATGGTGTTTAAAGAGGCATCTGAAATGCATTGAATCTTTGTAGGGGTGTTGCAAGGTATCTGAAAAATATGTTTGATCAAGAATCTGGACATGGGAGAAAGTCTGTTGCAATTGATCATCTTTTAACCGGTAAAACTCGAAAAGAAGCATCTAGAATGTTCTTTGAGACTCTGGTATGTCATTATTCTTAAGCCTTACAGAACTTAATTAGCTTGCTTGAGCTATCATTTAGCAAATAGTTATCCGTGATTTTAAAGCTAAGAATTATCAACTTCTTAAGAATCTTTACTTCTAGGATTGTGTTTCTTCATTGCTGCATTATGGGCCTGAAGTGAGGACTGTAATTTTGTAGAGTCAAATTGGTGGATTAAGATTGGATATACTCAGTCTTATAAGTCACCTGAATTACAATTTGTTAGGGAGAATCATTCATCCTGAGGAGTTAAATGGGACTTTTATATAGGTTGGAAACCAAATAATTCCAGAAGTTTAATCTTTAATTATTGACCTCAACTATCTATTAAGTCCATTACTCTTTCTAAATCTTTCTAACATCAGTAAACATGGCTTTAGTCCGAACCAACTACCATGGACACAACATAACTCAGTAAACTAGGATGTTCCACCATCCCCTATGGTCTAACCAAAGATCTTACTGCTCTGGCTTGGTCTAAATTGACAATCATGGGCCACAACTTGCCTATCAGCATGCAAAGGATCTTTATTGTTTGTTTGCTAACCATGCCCTTCTATGGGCTAATTAGAGACCTCAATCACTCAACCATCAGACTTGCATTGGACTTCAATCTTCCTGGTCACAACCTGAACTCTGATACCATCCATCAGACTTGCATTGGACTTCAATCTTCCTGGTTACAACATGAACTCTGATACCATTTATTTGGGAGTAACAGGGCCTCTTTGAGAGTTAACGAGCCTTGGACATAAGTTAAGATCCAAGTTAACTCTAAAGTTTGAGCAATTAGTGATTATAAAACTTCCTATTTTAAGTCCATTACCCTGAAGTTTTCAGAGGACTGTATAGTATTACAATTCGAAACTGATCTGCATACATGCTCAATAGTGCTGCATAGCTAGCAGCTCAATCTCAGTATCCTTTTGTTAAATTGTTGTCACCGTGCCATACATTTATTGTTTTCACCTGTGCATTTAGAATTGTCAACGATTATTTTGTAATCTTGTCGGTTTTCTGTTCTTATCTTTATAGCAGTGATATAGATGCTATATTTTTTCTTCTTTTAGGGAAATAAGCAGCAACTATTTTTCCTTAAGATATTTGCTCTTATTAAAACTATCTCAGTTGGGACTTTGCTAAAAACAAAATGGTTAATTGCATATAGCGTCTATACAACCCCTGTACTATAGCCCAATGTGGGGATGGACACCTAGTAGTTCTATTGTTGCAGATAGGCCTCCTGAGTGAAACTTTTAGACTCTTTTAGAGAGAGAAAATTGTTCTTTGACGGTTAGATCTCTTGAGGGTAAAAGAGTAAAAAAGTTGTGCTCAGAAGGTCTTCCGGCAGCAACAGAAACTGCAGGTGTATCTGCGATTGGGCGATATTACAGGGGTCTCTCCACAATTAACCCACAACTTATAAGCAACTCAAATAGTTCATTTCCTTTTTGTTCAAACTTCTAATATCACGATTGCGTTTTCCTTTCCCTTCCTTTCTCCAGGTGCTGAAAACAAAAGATTATATTCAAGTTGAACAAGAGAAAGCTTTCGACCGTGTCAATATTAACCCTAGAATAAAGCTTTTGAAGTCAGGGTTCTGATCTCACACAATAGACATTATGACGTATAGATAACAACTGTAATTTATCGTTTTACAAAGAGTCTCCACCCAATTTGTTGTTTTTGCAACTTTATGTCGCAGTAAATTATTCATGGTTTTGGTTGCTGACCTTTCTTATGGGGTGGAGGTGAGAGATGGCTCATGTATGTGTAATCACACACTGTAAATGTGCTGTAAATTAAATCCGTCTAATGTCGGTGATTGTTTGTAAGATAGAGTTATTTATGTTAAATTTCGTTTTTCTTTACCCCATGAGTTTCAGATCAACTAATTTTTTCTAGTTATAGCTATTTTCAGACCTTAGCCTTTGTTCGTACTTTTGCTTGGAATTATGAACCATGTACATATTTAAATCTCATGGGTAGCAATTTAAGTTTTTCTTGTTTGTCCTGGTTTTAACCATGGATTTAATTTCTTTAGTTTTTTTCTTTAGTGTTTTAGGTTAGACAATGGTTTCAAATTTTGAGTGTTTTACAAGTAAATAATCCTACAGTGAGTTGGCGTGTTTATAGGTTTTTTTAATAGTTTTCTCCACTTAAAATTAGGCAGAAAAAAAGAGATGCATAAACATGGGATTTCAAAGCAAACAATCCGCTAAACATTACAATTCGGCAGAGAAAAGAAAAAGAGATCACCTCAGAATTTATTATATTAACATGAAGTACAACCTTCAAATAGTTAATTGAGAAGATATCTATATCTATACTAATATATAAAAACCTTACTATATCTATACTAATATATAAAAACCTTACTTGGGGTAAGAAAAAAGTCTGAAAGATTGGAGGAGACTAGTCCAACTGGGCCGGTCCGGCGTGGAAAATCGGGTCAGGGCTGGGCAAAACCAGTGATTCAGACTCGGGCCCTATTAGCTCGGATCGGGTTCGGGTCTAGGCCCGGGAGCTGCGGGCCGGCTCGATTGTTTTCTTCTTTTTCTTTTTGTAAAAAGTTACTAAAACTTTAGATTAATCTTATTATATTTATATAAGTATGCACTAATATATATTTATATATTATTACATAGCTATATATTATATATACGTATATTATATGTAAATATATTGCATATACTTATAAGCAATGTTGAAAATAGCGATAACGCATAGCGTAACGCTTACCTCCGGTTAACATAAAACGCAAAATAGTGTAACTCTTAACGTAGTTTAAATAATTTATTATTAGTTAAATATTTTATAGATACATAACATTCAAAATCAAATAATATGAATAATCATCGTAATTTTCAAACATATCATCATTGAAATACTATCACAAATCAATATATCATCATAATTTCACAACAAAATCAACAATGTATGCCTTAACAATCAACGGAGATGATGACGAAGTTGAATGGAGCAGCAGAGATGATGACAAAGTCGATGGAGCAGCGGAGGTGATGATGAGGATGAAGACGAGGATGGCTAGTCGAATGAATTGATGAGTTGAAGTTGAAGGAAGAACCGAAGAAGAAGACGGAGATAATGGGTTTTGATCTGGAGGTTCTGGAGGCGGCG